GTGTGGTACTTGAAATCAGCAGAAAATGAATTTGTGCAAGGACAAAATTATGTTGGTTATTGTTATCAAAATGCTATTGGAACACAAAAAGATGAAGAAAAAGCATTTGAATGGTATTTGAAATCAGCAGAAAATGGAGATGCGAATAGACAATATCTAGTTGGTGATTTTTATCGAAATGCCATCGGGACACAAAAAAATGAAGAAAAAGCATTTGAATGGTATTTAAAATCAGCAGAAAATGGATATGCGAATGGACAATATCTAGTTGGTTATTGTTATCAAAATACTATCGGAACTCAAAAAGATGAAGAAAAAGCATTTAAATGGTATTTGAAATCAGCAGAAAATGGATTTGCACAAGGACAAAATTATGTTGTTTATTGTTATCAAAATGCTATCGGGACACATAAATATGAAGAAAAAGCATTTAAATGGTATTTGATATCAGCAGAAAATGGATTTGCGCAAGGACAATTTAACCTCGGTTATTGTTATCAAAATGCTATCGGAACACCAATAAATGAAGAAAAAGCATTTGAATGGTATTTGAAATCAGCAGAAAATGGAGATGCGAATGGACAATATCTAGTTGGTTATTGTTATCAAATGCTATCGAGACTCAAAAAGATGTCGAAAAAGCATTTGAGTGGTACTTGCAATCAGCAGAAAGTGGGTTGGCACAAGGACAAAATTATGTTGGTTATTGTTATCAAAATGCTATCGGTACACAAATAAATGAAGAAAAAGCATTTGAGTGGTACTTGAAATCAGCAGAAAGTGGAGATGCGAATGGACAATATCTAGTTGGTTATTGTTATCAAAATGCTATCGGAACACAAAAAGATGAAGAAAAAGCATTAGAATGGTATTTGAAATCAGCAGAAAATGGAGACGTGAATGGACAATATCTAGTTGGTTATTGTTATCAAAATACTATCGGAACTCAAAAAGATGTCGAAAAAGCATTTAAATGGTACTTGCAATCAGCAGAAAATGGATTTGCACAAGGACAAAATTATGTTGGTTATTGTTATGGAAATGGAATAGGAACACAAAAAGACGAAAAAAAAGCATTTGAATGGCATTTGAAATCAGCAGAAAATGGATTTGCGCAAGGACAATTTAACCTCGGTTATTGTTATCAAAATGCTTTCGGGACACAAATAAATGAAGAAAAAGCATTTGAGTGGTATTTGAAATCAGCAGAAAACGGGGATGCGAATGGACAATATCTAGTTGGTTATTGTTATCAAAATGCTATCGCGACTCAAAAAGATGTCGAAAAAGCATTTGAGTGGTACTTGAAATCAGCAGAAAATGGATTTGCGCAAGGACAAAATTATATTGGTTATTGTTATCTAAATGCTATCGGAACGCAAAACAATAGAGAGAAAGCATTTGAATGGTATTTGAAATCGGCAGAAAATGGAGATACTGTTGGACAAGTAAATCTCGGTTACTGTTATCAAAATGCTATCGGGATACAAAAAAATGAAGAAAAAGCATTTGAGTGGTATTTGAAATCAGCAGAAAATGGAGATGCTATAGGACAACGTCATCTTGGTCACCATTATTATTTTGGTTACGGAACCGCAAAAGATGCAAACAAAGCATTTACGTATTTTCAAAAATCTGCAGAATCTGGAGATAGTCCAGCTTTTAATTATCTTGCTAAATGCTATTTTTTTGGAAACGGAACAAGAATGGAAGATCATAAAGCATTTCAGTGTTATTTACGATCAGCAGAAGTTGGAAACAAGGTCGGACAGTTCAAGGTGGCAGAATGTTATCAACATGGATTGGGGATTCCACAAGATTTTGATATGGCGTTAAAATGGTATAAAAAAGCACATGACAATGGTCATGATAGAGCGGGCGAACTTGTTGAGTCTTTTGATTTCGAGATAATATATTCTTATAAATTTATTTAATTTAAATATTTTTTGATTTAGTCCTATATAATTATAAATGTATAGTTATAAAAAGACGTTCCAATATTTATATTAATGTTGATTGGATTTTCATCGTTGTATTTTTCATAATTTTGAAAATTTGGATTATTAGTGCTTGCCAGCAATCTTACTAGTTAATTAAATTTGAGAAATTCAGAAGACCTGATCTAACGAAAGTTTCTTCGAATTCGACTATTTTGCAACACCATTGCTAATAAAACACTTAAACATTTAATTTTATCGATGCATCTTTATTTGATGAACCATTGCTATAGACTAAAAATGATGCCTTTATATCGATATAAATGCATCACATATTAAGAAAGAACTATTTAATAATTAACATTATTGTAACTAAAAATTGAATATAAGTACAGTATATTCTGATTAGTTGCGACTTTGCGTCTAGATTTTCTAATGGTGCTTTTTTCAAACACTCGATTATCATTTTTACAGGTTACTTAATATAAAGTCATCTTCCAAACTAAAAATATCGGACATCATTGCTAGTTTGCAACCCTATCAATTACAAATAGTGTACAAAATATTGTGTACATATTTTAAAATTATTATATAATAGTTTTGAATTTTTGATACCTTTGTGATATAAAAGAACCAAAAAAATGAAACACAAAAATCCATGCAGCAGTTCTTTCAGTTCAAACTGAAATGCTTTTTTAATAGTGAAAATTATTATTAGTATGATAGAATAATTATAAATATATTTTAATGAATGATTGTATAGATTTTTTGTAACTTATATTTAATAATTTGTCTATAATTTATTCAAAATTTTATTATAAATATATGGGATAAGTGCAATAGAATTTGTGTAAATTATATTATAAATTCTAATACAATTTACATCGCTTCTAATGCACTCGGCCCATATTAAAATGCTCAAAAAATTTTTTCAAAATCTACTGCATGGATTTTATGTTTTATAATTCTCTTAAATCAAGAACTTAAAATTATTATTTATTATATAAATTTTTAAATGTATAAATTTCTATTTAATTAAAATGTTCACAATATTTAGAACACCCTCTGTATAATAAATGCATCACATGTAATTTAGAATTATCTATTTGTTATAATGACTGTAAATAATTAATTATCAAAGACTAGAGATAGATGCAGCGAAAACTGAATGACAAGCTATGTGCAGTCAGTGTTGAAGAGTGACAATGTCATTTGAGGATTTTTCAAACGATATGTAATTTGTCATTTAAAATGATATTCTGATTATGTAATAAATCCCATGATTTAGTTTCCAAATGATCCTTCTAATGATAAAATGATATCTTGAGTATATTGTTTTTTTAGTAGTGACATTGTATTGAATATTTCTAATGATGCTTTAAATAACTTTGAATCACCTTTTTACTTTTTGCATAGAATGATTTCAAATTAGTTTTTTGCACACTGTATATATCAGTTAACTGACAACACCGGTCGGATATGTACCTGGTGCTGTAATGGAGTTTAACAAAAGATAAATACAAATTCTGTTTGAAAATAAAAACGACGTGTATTATTTTCACGTTGAGATTGAAATGCAAGTTTTGTTGTTAATATAATGGTATAAGTGATTGCTATACAGTCGTCTCATTGTTATTAACATCATGAGATCGGGATATTTTGTTAATATATACGAGAGTGGATACCTACAATGGTTAGGGTGGTTGCTATATTGTTTAAAATCTGATCTGCGACCAATGTTGCTAAAATTAGGCTACTGTTGATATATTATCGGGGGTTGATACATGTACCTTAAAGCGCTCTTTAAAGTAACCCCTGTGTAAAATACCCTCCCAGCTTTTTGGCAGATGATTTATGTACAATATCCGGGTACTTTAAACAGCAATAAATACGTACATGAAAATTTAAAGTACGTACCCCTTTTATTTATATTGTGCTATAATTATTTAGTACAAAAAAGTGAACGAAACTAATTTAATTTTTTCTCATTCTCACTAAGAACCGAACGATATGTACCCTCCTCCGACCATGTAATGTACCCCCTAATTTTAAGTGAATGTAAAATACCCGGGGTACTTTAAAGAGCGCTTTACGGTAATACGTACATGTATGTGATGAGAATCGGTAGGGTTGGAAAAGTCCTCTAGTAAGTCTCAAGTAAATTATAAAAGATAATTTTTTCTTCGTAGGTTATTATCAAACTTGTTTAAAATAGTTTGTCAAATCAAAGAAATAATCAAAAATTGTTTCTAAAGCTTAGAATTTAGAGTTTTTAAAAATCTAGATCAAGTCCTAAGTTTTAAAAGTTCTAAAATTCTAAGCTTTAGAAACAATTTATTGATTATTTCTTTGATTTGACGAACTATTTTAAACAAGTTTGATAATAACTCGCAAAGAAAAAATTATCTTTTATATTAGTAATTTTCTTGGGACTTTTGCCAACTCTAGTAAATGGCAGCATTATTTGATATTTTCCTTTATAACGATATGTCACGTAAAATGCGAACAGAAGTTAACTTATTCAAAGATTAGTCAATTATCCAACAATGCACTAAGATCTATATCTAATTGTTCTATTACATGTTATATAACAGCAAAAGCGAATTTTTCGTCATCAAAGTTTGGTAAATCCTAATTGAGCTTTTGAGCTTTCAAAACATACAATCCATCGATGACTATAGATGACAAACGATTCTTTCTGTAAACCTACAAGTCACTCTGGATATGACATGGGAAATTAAAAAAGTGTCTTTTCGTTATGTCATTATATGAAGTTTCTATATTAAGTTATTGTGGTGGTGTCACGTGGGGACGTGATTATTTTCTATATCCAGCGTGACTTGTATTTCATTAAGCGATTATACAATAAAATCAAAAGAAAATTTATTCAAGAAAGTTAACTAAATTATAAACTGTAGCAATAGAAAAATAAAAGTATTGAAATACTACTAAGATAATAACTATCAAGTAATAATCTTTGTCACTAACATTCTAAGAAAGAAAATTATCTTATTAAGATAATGAACAGTTAAAGAAAGTTTAATCTATAAACAACCATCATAATCAGTTTCTAGTGAGTTGATCGAGATAAACGATACAATTTTCGCACTTGCACTTTATTCCACGAAACAGGTACAACATACGACACCGATCCTTGTTGTTCATCCATGTATAACCAACATAAGTCAGGGTAATTGCATCTCCTTTTCTGATTTTTTTATTTGCTTTCAATTGCCATTTACTCTCATTAATTTCCAATATTGCATTTGGATTACAATCATGGTTGATAAGAGAGATCCACGTAAATATCGAAGAGTAATCCGGGACTGAATTGACTGTCTTATCACCGAATACGTTGCCCTGCATGGCACAACACAACGAAATAAACACCCAGAAATCGAATCGAAGGTCACCAATGGGAATACCCAAGAGCGCCATAACTTTATCGTAGACGTAAAGCATGGTTGCTTGAAAAGTGACATACTCATGCTCCCATCGTCGAAGATGTTTGATTTCGTCAATGTCCAAGGGACAGATGTCACGAATTTTGCCAATTGCAAAGAGTTTGATCGGGTATAGATGAGTAAGCGCAGAGGTGGATACACCATTTTGAACAATTTCTACGATTTCGGAAAAATCCTTGCCACACGTGACTTTATGATAAAGCTCATATGCACGTTTATAACAATTGACATTACAGAAGATTTCTTTGCATCCGGATTTCGGGCAGATGTATTTGAGTAAAAAATCTTCTGAATTACAATAATCACACCTTTCGTTAATTTTGCTATTAACGCTGATAAATGGCGCTTCTTCAAATATCACTTTATGTTTCGGAATTATGCACTGTGCTTCTAGGCCATATTGAATCTCTTCACCACTCTCCTCAAAAGTCATTTTAACTATTTTAGCTTGAGAATATGATGCTTGTAAAATTTGCTGCTGCAAATTATCGAACGTTTCATCTGATGCTCGATTTTGTTGGCGGGAATCCCATGGGTAACTTCCATTAAATTTATATTTTCCATAATTTTCAGCAAGCTCACTATATCGATCATAACCTATTCTAGCACACCCTTCATCAAATTTCTTTTCAAAATTCTCGAGCAAGCTTTGTACGTCATTCCAGTTAAAGGGAACATTAGCGTCGGCGTAAAGATCTTTCCACTTGAGCAAATCTTTACAGGACCGAGTTGCACACACATAAAGCTCCAGGTTCGCCAACGCCAAGCATTCGCGATATTTAGCTTTACATTTAAGTTGAATCATTTTTTGATCTATAGACAATTTTTCACTTGCTTTTAAAATCGGTGGAATCCTCATTGCAGAATTTTCGTTTTTGTAATCCCTAAAGAATTCATCAAGCGTATTGATTGTGCGTTGAGCGTCGACTATGGCAAGTTCTGGATACCCAAGTTTAAGGAAAGTCAATGCTCGGTTACACCATAGTGCTGGATCGTGCGGGTTAATCGTGATTCCTTTCGAATATTCAGCGTAGGCTTTATTGTAGTCGCCGTTTTCCATAGCTTTGTTACCGCGATAGCGATGACTGAGTGATTCGGTTGTTTGAGGAAGCGTTTGAGAAAATAGTGCTATTCTCGATTCCTAAAAATTAGAAAGAAAACAAATCATGTGTTTATATTATATTGGTAGAGGAAAAAATTAAGAATAATAATTATATCGAATACCAAATCCATTTTGTTTATTTGATTTGTGTCTAAAGAAACAAAAACGATAAAAAGAAACAATAACGATTAAAAAAACATGATCAAATTACGTATTTAAACATTTCAGTTATGTCGATCACTATAATTGCTTGTAGTCACGTTTATCGTAATACGTAATGATATCGATAATTTATCTACATGTTTTAATATCGATCGATAAATCATGATATCGATATACCGATACATGTTCATTAAGACCCGTTTTTAAATCACAATAGCGATCAAGATAATCATTTCTCTTATTGTTACGTATTATTAAAGTAACACATTTTTGTATAAATCTAGACAATTACATGACATTACAAATTTTAAGCCAAATAATAATTACACAAATTTCGTTTATCTATTAGACAATTTTTTTGTCTATGCATGCATTATTTTAACGCAACATTGTAAAGAAATCAACAGACGTAATGCTGAGTATGAAATTTTAATAATCAAACGAAAATTTACTAACATCAAGCATAGTTTATTAGAAAGAACAAAATAAATTTTGTTACAATGATTTTATTTGATTGTTCATTGTGCAATTTCCCGTAAAAGTTAAATTAACTAAGAAATTGTTTTTTGATATACAATATTACAAATATATGTCATTAAAGTTGACATGTTATTTTATACGTGGGGCGGTCGAACTTGATTACCTTTTACTTGTTTCATTAGTTAGATAAATTTAATATTCATTTAGTATATGATAAATTATTAAATTAATAGAGACTTGGAATTTTTTATAACATATTTTTTCTTCTAATGTTCTCTAAGAATATTTTGAACGTGATGTTATGACCTGGTGCCGATTTGGAATGAACTGAACTAAACCAATGGAACCCGTCATGGACCATAGTACAAAAAACTGCAGTCTTTTGACTAGTTCGAAGACTGCCCGTTATGAAACCAACGAAATTACACTTATTTACATGTAAACCATTTATTTCATGATTACTTCGTCATTTTTTTCAACTACTGTATACTCAATATCGATATATACATCAATTTATTAGACAAATTCATGAGATAAGAGATAAATACATGTTTGGTTAACATGTAAATTAAAAGAACATAGTATATGTACATGTATTTATCTATTTATCTTTATCCCACGAATTTATCCAATACAGTAGTTTGATATTGGATAAAGATATACTGATTAATATCAAAATTCAGAATTCCCACACTAACTACAATTCACATTACTACACCTTTTTGCAAACAAAACAATAACGATAATGTAAACTTTCTTGATTCTAGCACGAGTTTACTAGTAAATAGTGATTTGGGCTAAATTGCTTAGGACAAGTTAGAAATTTAGGACTTGAAAAGCTAAATTATATATAGTCCAATTATGATAAAATATTAAATAAGTTAAACTAAATTAGAACTACTAGAATCTACAAAAAAATTAAAAATAAAATAATTTGGGCTTGGGCTAAACAATTTAACCCAAATCACTACTAGTAAATTTAATATAGAACAGAATTTAAGGAGGACTGCTATAAAGAGTGCATCTATGTATTAATGATCATTTTCGTATTATCATTTTCGGTTACGTTTTTTTCGAAATTTTCATCGTTTATTTAAAATAAATCATCATGACTAATAATAACATCTAACCTCTCAATGGATTGTATTTTATAAATTCAATAAGCTTCTTAGTTGAAAAGTAAATGCCAAATTTAATCAATGAATATGATCAAAAAGTCCTATTCTAACATATTCACAGATTAAATTTTGTATTTACCTCTTATTTATTGAATAAAATACAATCTATTTGTGAGTTTAGAGGCGCGCTATGCAACACAGTACAGTATTTAAAATTATAATCAATCAGGAATGTATTTAATTACTTTTATTCACAAAAACTATAGAAAGGCACTTCAATCTCGAACAAAAGCCAAATAGCATTTCTTATTTAACTTTGTTATTAGCAAAAAAAATTATTTGATCGATTATGTTTGTCTTCGCCAGTATTAACAGTGATCAAACAGAATAGAAAAAATGATTGATTTTTTATGTCAAAATGTTGATTATGGCTTTGTTAAAAATTTATATTGATATGATATTTAAATCTTTGTGTTGAATTTTATAAACTTTAATTAAACGAACATAAAAATGGATTATCAAAAATATGGCAAACCTTCGTTATAAAAACCTTCAATAAAAGTTCTTGCCAAAGATGATGAAACTATTGAATCTCTTTAATTCACAAAAATATTGCTATATAAATAATGTATTTTCTTCAAGTTTCAAAGCATTTTGATTTTCAATTTGAATTAAAAGAAGTTAAAATCTTTAAGCGTGAATCCAATTGTCGCATCGCAATAAGCCTATTGGAACTCACTGACGTTAATTAACAAGTTATAAATTCGTTATCTCCTTTAAATAATCGATGTTATTATTATATCTGGCAGTGTTAACAAATGAGTAAATGACAAAACTTTTTGGTTTATAAAATATATATATATATATATTTATGATTCTTGATATTATTTTTAAAAAATTTATTAATAACAAAGCTGTTTTTGATTTATTAAAGAAATAAAATTTTTTATGAAATGACATTGTTGTCATTTGCCAACACTAATATTTAGTGGTGGTGCGATCTTATAGCATGACAAAAAATTGATTGAGTTTGAATCAAACGAAATACATGTACATGTAAATGCAATATGATAGTCACAGGTAGAAAAAAAAGTTTTGCTTGTGTTTAACACACTCGGATTTTGTTAAACTATTAGATAAACTTCCATGTTTTGCTATAGTTTTTTGTAGTTATTAGAGGTTCTCCAGGATTTTGACACAACGATAACAAACTCTCGTAAACTATCGAAAAACGTGGAAGTATATCCAAAGGTTTAACGATATGGGTAGAACCTCCCTTTATTTACTTGTGAGTGATCGTGCTTTACAAATTCGTTATCCAAAAAGCCTAAGACATGCTTACTGAAATTTAATATTCAATGATATTGATAATAAAGTGCAGTTTGAAGTAATAATAAGTTTACTTTATTTGATATCATTTATAAAAAACCTTATAAAATTAGAATATATCTTTGGATAAAAATATTTACTAATTACATAAAAGACTTATCGAACTTCTCTATTGAGCATGCGAATTTAATAAAAGTTGCTTGCAAACTTGCTGCTAAATGATCTAAAATCTCGTAATTATAAAAAATTTATGAAATACTAAAAAATTTGAATTTATTGAAATCAACAAAAAACTACTGTAATAAAATTATATGAAAAAAATTCAAAAACAAGAATATATTTTTTCAAAATCAAAAGACTCGACCAGCTCCCCCGCTCGATCATGGCCATTTTCATGCGCCTTTTGATACCATTTTAATGCCATGTCGGGATCTTTTGGAATTCCAAATCCGTATTGATAACATTCAGCTACTTTAAACTGAGAGATATTCAACCCAGATTCAGCAGATTTTAAATACCATTCAAATGCCTTTTTCTCATTTCTATTTGTTGCATTTCCTTGAAAATAGCATTCTGCAAGAAAATGTTGAGCATATGGAGTATCAAAATGTTCTGACTCCGCTGATTTCTGGAAGCACGAAAATGCTTTCTGCAGATTTCTATTAGTTCCCTCGCTATAATAATAACATCTACCAAGATTGAATGTTTCATTCCTTTCATTCCTTTCATCCTTGGATACTTTTAAAAACAATTCAAACGCAATTTTCTCATTTCGTAGTGTTCCTATGCCATTTCGGTAACAATCACCAAGATTATATTGTCCATTAGCATCTCCACCCTCTGCTGATTTCAAATACAATTCGAATGCTTTTTTCTCATCTCGTTGTGTTCCTATACCTTCATCATAACAATAACCAAGATTACATTGTCCCTTAGCGTCTCCACCCTCTGCTGATTTCAAATACCACTCGAATGCTTTTTTCTCATCTTTTGGAGTTCCTATACCATTTTGATAACAATAGCCGAGATTACATTGTCCGCTAACATTTCCACCCTCTGCTGACTTAAAATGCCACTCGAATGCTTTTTTCTCATCTCGTTGTGTTCCTATACCGTTTTGATAACAATAACCAAGACCACATTGTCCATTAGCATCTCCACCCTCTGCTGATTTCAAATACCACTCGAATGCTTTTTTCTCATCTCGTTGTGTTCCTATACCATTTTGATAACAATAGCCGAGACTACATTGTCCACTAGCATTTCCACCCTCTGCTGATTTCAAATACCATTCGAATGCTTTTTTCTCGTCTTTTTGAGTTCCCATACCGTTTTGATAACAACTACCAAGATTAAATTGTCCACAAAAATTTCCACCCTCTGCTAATTTCAAATACCACTCAAATGCTTTTTTCTCATCTCGTTGTGTTCCTATACCTTCATCATAACAATAACCAAGACTACATTGTCCATTAGCATCTCCACCTTCTGCTGATTTCAAATACCACTCGAATGCTTTTTTATCGTCTTTTTGAGTTCCTATACCGTTTTGATAACAATTACCGAGATTATGTTGTCCTGTAACATTTCCACCCTCTGCTGATTTGAAAGACCACTCAAATACATTTTGCATATTGTATTTTGTTATAATTTAGTGCTATTGAGCAATGTAAAACGTCAGTTGTAACGAAAGAAAAAGCCTTTTGTTTAAAAATTTCCTCTATATAGCGAAGTTTCGTAAGGAAACTCGATATAACGAAAAAAATTTCCAGCTCAAGAGGTTCGTTATACGTATCGAGGTTTGACTGAACTTATACGTACTGATTTTAGACACATTCTAATTTTAACAAAAAAAGGAGACAAACAGTACGTACGAAACGATAATACATGTACAATACGTATACATGTGCATGTATGGTGTTACCTGATCAATTAGATCAACAAAGATCGTAATACATGTACTATACGTTATTTCGGAATTCCGAATCCAAATGACGTAACTGCTATATACATGTACATGTAGTAATTCACGTCAATTCCGG